ACCAGTCCACACAAGAAATCCACTTCCTGGACACTACAGTGCTAATAAGCGATGGTCACATAAACATCACCCTATACCGGAAACCTACTGACCGCTATTCCTACCTACATGCCTCCAGCTTTCATCCAGACCACACCACACGATCCATTGTCTACAGCCAAGCTCTACGATACAACCGCATTTGCTCCAACCCCTCAGACAAACACCTACAAGATCTCTATCAAGCGTTCTTACAACTATAATACCCACCTGCTGAAGTGAAGAACCAGATTGACAGAGCCAGAAGAGTACCCAGAAGTCACCTACTACAGGACAGGCCCAACAAATAAAATAACAGAATGCCACTAGCCGTCACCTTCAGCCCCCAACTAAAACCTCTCCAACGCGTTATCAAGGATCTACAACCTATCCTGAAGGACGACCCACCACTCTCACAGATCTTGGGAGACAGGCCAGTCCTTGCCTACAAACAGCCCCCCAAACTGAAGCAAATACTCACCAGCAACCACACACCACACAACAGAACCACTAACCCAGGAACCTATCATAGAATCATAGAATCATAGAATATCAGGGTTGGAAGGGACCTCAGGAGGTCATCTAGTCCAACCCCCTGCTCAAAGCAGGACCAATCCCCAATTAAATCATCCCAGCCAGGGCTTTGTCAAGCCTGACCTTAAAAACTTCTAAGGAAGGAGATTCTACCACCTCCCTAGGTAATGTATTCCAGTGTTTCACCACTCTCCTAGTGAAAAAGTTTTTCCTAATATCCAACCTAAACCTCCCCCACTGCAACTTGAGACCATTACTCCTTGTCCTGTTCTCTTCTACCACTGAGAATAGTCTAGAACCATCCTCTCTGGAACCACCTCTCAGGTAGTTGAAAGCAGCCATCAAATCCCCCCTCATTCTTCTCTTCTGCAGACTAAACAATCCCAGTTCCCTCAACCTCTCCTCATAAGTCATGTGTTCCAGACCCCTAATCATTTTTGTTGCCCTTCGCTGGACTCTCTCCCATTTATCCACATCCTTCTTGTAGTGTGGGGCCCAAAACTGGACACAGTACTCCAGATGAGGCCTCACCAATGTTGAATAGAGGGGAACGATCACGTCCCTCGATCTGCTCGCTATGCCCCTACTTATACATCCCAAAATGCCATTGGCCTTCTTGGCAACAAGGGCACACTGCTGACTCATATCCAGCTTCTCTATCCTTGCAACAAAGCCCATTGCCAACTGTGTCCACACATCTATTCAGGGGACACCATCATAGAGCCTAATCACATCAGCCACATTATCAGAGGCTCGTTCACCTGCACATCTACCAATGTGATAGATGCCATCATGTGCCAGCAATGCCCCTCTGCTATGTACATTGGCCAAACCAGACAGTCTCTACGTAAAAGAATAAATGGACACAAATCAGATGTCAAGAATTATAACATTCAAAAATCAGTAGGAGAACATGTCAATCACTCTGGTCACTCGATTACAGACCTAAAAGTGGCAATTCTTCAACAAAAAATTGTTACGAATTACACCTGAGAGGACACGCACACAATTGCTGCGAATTATACCTGGTAGGACACGCACACTAATGCTGCGAATTATACCTGATAGGACACGCACAGTTCGAATCTAGGCTGAGGCACATAAACAAAGTCCACAACTGCAGAGTTCCCAAAAGACACTAAGTTTATTACACTCGAGCGTAGTGCCCCCCTGAATACAGATTATACAAAGGTTATATACTTTTTAGCAAAGCATGTTGCCCTCGTGCATCGGAAACCTTAGCCAATAAACAAACCCTTGTCTTATCTACCACCTATCCCTGCTTGGTGCATTCCTCGTGCTATACCAGTATGTTAATTACACAGCATGGTCCTAAAGCCATGCATCAGTAACCTTTATTATCAGGATGGGAGGCCTCACATCAAGGCCAAGAGACAGGGAGTTAGAGACTGACAAAAACCAGATACTGGGAGTCAAGGCAGGTTGGAGACAAGGAGGAGGATTTTCACAGGGATTCAGTATCTAAGGATCACTCCTCCTGGTGTATGATGTGCTGGCATTTAAACAATGGTGGGCCCCAAACCAAAATGGAGTCACATGTGCTAACTTTTCCTTAACACAATGGAAGGAATGGAAGTACCGGACACATGAGAAGCCACCAAAAATGAACACATTGCAGTCAAGAAGTTCATTAACAGAGGGTGCAAAATTATAACAAGAAACCAAGAAGGATGTAGACTTCGTGCTTCATAGAAGTCTTGAGTCGCCAACTTTAATTTGTGTGATGATTTTAAAACATGAGTTAAATCTAATAAAATAGTCATGAAACATTTTTCAGTTTTACTATGGTGCCATACTGCCCCCCTTCACCCTCACGGTCTCACCCCTCATTGGCCCTGACCTCCCCCCCTGTAAATTTGAACACCCCTGCTAATTTCAATCCCTGGGGAAAACACTGCTGAGATGTGAAGTCACAAGCAGTGGCAGATGTAGAGTTAGCGGGACCCTGTGCGCAGCTTCATTTTTGCCCCCCGCACCCCGGGACCCAGCCAGGAAAAAGAACATTCTCTCTTATCTCCCCCCCCCACCCATTTTTCATTCTTTTTTTCTTCATCCTCCTCCTATATTATAAGTAATAGGAAGTAAATGACAATAAAGTGAGGTACCTTGATTGGGGCAGGGGGTTGGGGTGCAGGAGGGAGTGCGCGGGTCAGGCTCTGGGAGGGAGTTTGGGTGCTGGGTGCAAGCTTTGGGCTGGGGCAGGGGGTTGGCATTTATCTTGGGGGGCACAGCTCCCAAAGCGACCGGCACACCCCTCTGGCAGTGGCTAGGTGGGGCGGGGGGGACACACGGGTCTCTGCACGCTGCTGCCCACAGGCATCACCCCGCAGCTCCCATTGGCTGCAGTTCCCAGCCAGTTCCCAGAACAGGGTTAGCTTTGTGAGCAGCTGCATCTTCCTTCCATAGCACTACCATAGGCTGTTAAGAGCTGGTTGAATAATAAAGGAAGAATTAATTCACAAAGACTCGGGCTGGTGGCAAATCTTCCCCCTAAATGATTATTCGAAGGGAAACGGCTCTTTGGATCAAATGGAAATTTTCATGAAAAACAGCTGGTTTTTCAAAAAACTTTGGGATTTTCCCCCAAAGCCCCAAACAGAAAATGTTTTGGTTTTTCGACATTCCCTCAAAATTTTTCATGGGGAGGGAGTTCCCGGCCAATGGGAGCTGCGGAGTTCCCGGCCAATGGGAGCTGCGGAGTCGGGGAGGGGGCAACACATGGAGACACACACACACATACATACCCCCCTGAGGCTGAAGGAACATGCCGGCTGCTTCCGGGAGCGGTGTGGAGGGAGGGAGGCAACGTGGGCAGGGAGCTGCCTTAGTCCTGCTGCTGGCCCATCTCTGTGCGCCCCTTGTGGGGAGGGGGACAGTGGGTCTCCGTAAGCTGTCTGAGGCAGGGACAGCGCATGGAGCTGCCTCCCCCGCCACTTTGGGTACGCAGAGACATTCCAGCAGCCGGCCGCTTCTGGGAGCAGCGTGGGGCCACCAGCCACAGAGCCCTGCTGCACCGCCAGCCGGGACTCAGGGGCAGGTTGTCAGATGAGATTTGTCCTGCATTTTGGGGGCCCCCCTGTCATTCGGGGACCCATGCCACTGCACGGTTTGTTACATGGTAAATCCGCTGCTGGTCACAAGTTGCAGTGGGGGAGGTTTAGGTTGGATATTAGGAAAAACTTTTTCACTAGGAGGGTGGTGAAACACTGGAATCCGTTACCTAGGGAGGTGGTGGAATCTCCTTCCTTAGAGGTTTTTAAGGTCAGGCTTGACAAAGCCCTGGCTGGGATGATTTAGTTGGAGTTGGTCCTGCTTTGAGCAGGGGGTGGGACTAGATGACCTCCTGAGATCCCTTCCAACCCTGATATTCTAGGATTCTAGGATTCTATGAAGAGTTTACAACCTAAGAAACAATTTGGCTCACGATGGCCATAACTGAGCTGGGGTAAGGCAATTCTCTCCTCTGTAACTAAATGAGGCATTGCTTTGTTTACTGCCTTGCTTTAAGCTGCCTTGGCTGGCTAGGAGATGGGCAAGATCAAAACTGTGGCATGGGGAGAAGAGGCGCTGGGGAAATGAACACGAGATGCAAACAACATTCTTATAAGAAACTTTGCAATGCATTTTTGGCGGGCATGGGACAAGATCCTAAGAAGCTGTGGGAGGAAGACTGTGGATATAGGGAGCGGAGGTCATAGGGGGAAGTGGTGAGAGATGGACCAAATGGCTAGTATTTGCCTATGGACACACACTATAAACCCTAGTTTGGGGTGAACAAATACATAGGAACTGGGTTAAAGCAAAATGAAAATAGCAAGGAATGAGGTGAATTGCGTTTCCTGAATCCTCCCCTGTGTGTTGTCTATTTATACCGCTTTGGAGCAGAGAACTGTCCTTGCTATATATTTGGGAGGCAGCCAGCTCCTTTGTATGTATGTGGGGGGGGGGCGGCTAGAAACATCCTGATATTAGAAACATCCTGATACTAGCTTAATCATTATCATTTGAACTCCACAAATGATAACACTCCCTAGGACACTTCCTAAGCACACCCAGACTTGCCGGAGTGCTGGGTTGGCATGGGAGATGCACAGAGACACTGACAGAGAGAGCCACCAGTGTGCACCACCACTAATTTACCGTCCTACAGGTGCAAAAACAGCAGGCTCCTTTGGGAGAGCTGCTCCATATTGTGTTGTGGCCAAATTGTGCCCTGGCCAAATTGTGCCACGGAGTGCCAGCAGTGTGAGCAAAGTCATTCTGGGTGTGACTCAGCACAGGGACTTTGTCTGGAAGCAAAGGTCCACCTTTGCAACACAAAACTTGGTTCTGTGCCATGGGGAAAGGAAAAACAACCCGCAAAGGTCTCTTCCCCCACCACAGCCGTGGAAGTCACAAGCCAGGAGACTTAAATTTCAGTCCAGATCCCTTCAACAGATCACGGTCACAGTCCAGAAACAAAACCAGCTCTAAAGGCAGATGAGTTGGGACCATGGAGATATGGCAGCAAATATTTTCTCAGAAGATTGGGCAGATGAAACCAGGAGACACATGGACTCTGAAGGCGGATTATAACCTTCAGTCCAACGACCGGGATCCTGGATGGAAGCAATTCCTGCAACAATATGCGTTTGCCAGGTGAGGGGTAGGTAGCAGGAGAACACGGTTAGCAAAGGGCTTTGTGAGCAGCTGCATCTTCCTTCTATAGCACTACCATAGGCTGTTAAGAGCTGGTTGAATAGTAAAGGAAGAATTAATTCACAAAGACTTGGGCTGGTGACAAATCTTCCCCCTAAATGATTATTCAAAGGGAAACGGCTTTTTGGATCAAATGGAAATTTTCATGAAAAACAGCTGGTTTTTCAAAAAACTTTGGGGGTTTTCCCCCAAAGCCCCAAACGGAAAATGTTTTGGTTTTTCGACATTCCCTCAAAATTTTTCATGGGGAGGGAGGACAGGAGGAATCACTTATCGGCTCTAACAAAGAGATGTTTACTGACAAATTTTGTGGATTTTTTGCACTATTTTTGGTGACATTTTTGAACTTTCCGGCAAGCTCTATTCGCTAATATTCTTGTGAATACAGGCTCCAAGTTCCGTTTCCTGTGATAAGTGAGATCATATTATTCTATATTTGTCCATGTCTGCACAACTAGTGGGCATTTATCAAAATGTTTGCGAAACCCAGGAGTTGCACGAAATGTAGCAGCAGTGAATTGATTCATTGCCTGAAAATTCACACCTGAACTCCATCGTTTGTTATCCTCCGCTTTAGAAAGCTTGTCATCCAATCAGGGAGGAGAAGCAATACCATGTGGCTCAGGTGACCAGTTAAAGAGCTAGCTTGGCAACAACGGAAGAAGCTGAAGGCTATTAGCCCAAAGCATTTGGTGAATCCTTACAAATAGCAAGCCCATGAACAAATGCAGGATCAGTTTATGAATGATTCACTAACCAGAAAATGACAGGTTTCAGAGTAGCAGCCGTGTTAGTCTGTATTCGCAAAAAGAACAGGAGGACTTGTGGCACCTTAGAGACTAACCAATTTATTTGAGCATAAGCTTTCGTGAGCTACAGCTCACTTCGTGTAGCTCATGAAAGCTCATGCTCAAATAAATTGGTTAGTCTCTAAGGTGCCACAAGTCCTCCTTTTCTTTTAACCAGAAAATAGGGCTCAATCATTGCAAATAATCTTAAGGAATAATTTGACCAGTTCTAACAATGTCTAGTTACCTGAATATTTTCAGTGTGACCATCATTGCAGTATCTGGGTGCTGGATTTTTATCATCATAATCTAGTGCTCTGGAGCATGCTAGACCCGTCACAGACCACAGAAAGCCATGGGCGGGGAGGGAGAAGCGGCTGGAAAGTACCAGCAGGGAGGGAGAAGGTGACAGAGGGGAGGGCTAAGAAGGGGCAGAGGAAGAGGGGGTGGGGAGAGACCAAGAGGTTGGCCTGGAAGGAGGGAGATGAGAAGGCCGAGGGGTAGAATGGGGGTGGGTGAGTGAGGCCAGGCAATGCAGGGGTGGCAGCGGAGGGCTGGGTCATGCACATGGACGGGGCTGGAGGAAGCAGTGAATTACACCCACCTCGACTCTTCTAGACATCGTCAGTGTCATCTCAAAATCTGACCCAGTGCCGCCGCCCACTCATTCTGCTGATTTTCATCCGCTGTGTTTATTTCCCCATCCCCAGGGCTTCAGGCCTGAAGCTTTATTGCTGCTGAATTATGCTGAGCTTGCTCTCCTCGTAGGCGCCTATGGAGCCACCAAGCCCAGACTGGGTCGGCTTTGCTGCTGGCGCTTTACTTCTCTAGCGTCACCTCTGTGTTCCTTGCCTGCATTTCCAGGCAGCGGGGCCCATCCTGGCTTGAGAAGGAGAGGAAGATTCTAAGGGTCAGCCTGGATCCATATAACAATGGAAAGATCAGCTGGAGCCAGGGGCTGGTTGCTGTGGGCAGGCAGCCGCCAAGGAGTGGCTTGCAGAAGGAATTCTGGGAGCAAATATGGATGCAGGAGAAGCTAAATCTATACCTCGTTCTACTGAACACTTGGATGATAGTTATATGTTACTTAGGTAGCACTATGGGGCTGTACAATACAATGAAAGTGAGATTCCTGCCCCAAAGAGCTTACAATCTCAATTAAGGAGGAGAAGGAGGAGCCGGGAAAGGGAGAGAGGAGGGAGAGGACAGTATGAGCGTGTGGTCACTTAGGACGCTAACGCATGCGATGTACAGTTATTTGTATGGTGATAGGACCCAAAGGCCTCTGTCAGCTTGCACTCCCTTGGGCTAGGCACTCTCAGCCATATAGCAACGAATCTCTGCCCCTAGAAAGCTTAAACTCTCAATAGACGGGGCTTTTTATGACCACGACCATTATTATTTTTAAACCTCTGAGGGGCTACAGCTCCAAAGCCTTCTTGAAACAGTAGGTTTGGAGAAGGGGTGTGAAGGTGGCCAAGGGGAGCTGTGGTCTAAGACGCAGTGAGGGCATGACATGCAGCGGGGCTGGTAACGGACTGCTCTTTATTTCCTGGCCCTAGTCACCACACATGGGTCGCCGTTACAAAAAGCTGTGTGTTGCGTCAGCATCCGATAGCTGCTGCTCCAGATCAGGAAGGAATTCTAGGAATCGGGGAAGCATGAGAGATGGCCTGGAGGTCACCAGAGCCCATAGCTATTTGAACGTCAAACATCTGTAGCCAAAACCAGGTCTCAATATCCATCGTACAGAGGAGCAGAAGCATCCTGTTTAGAGTGGACTCATGCTGGAAACCGTCTGCAAGGCATAACGACGACAGCTGTATTGAACCTACTAATAAACGGTGCTGTACAATCCTCAGTGCTAGTAGATAGCGCTCCTACACCGCTCGATAGACCCCTCCTGTGTACAGTGCTCCAGAATCCCTCCTGCGGGACAGAGGCTGAGTTCTCAGATTAGCAGCTGCAGCTGGTTCAGGGCTTTGAATCTGGGTTAAGTTTTGTCTCCTGCTTTCTCCTGTTAGGTTTCAGTGTTCACAGTGCTGGCATATGTGGCACTCAGCTCAGGTGAACATTCTCTTCCACATGCACCTGGACCGGAAGCAGAGACGGGGCCAGGTGAAGATGAAAATCTTCAGACAGGAGTGCAAGAAGTGTCTCGTGCCGAAACTGGAACTGCCTGAATTCAGCCAGGAGAACATCGAGAGAGTCCTGGAGAACCTGATGCTGAAGATTCGCGGGAAATGCTACAGAGAGGCCATCAGTCCCAACAGCCTGTCCAAGAACATCGTGGAAGCTCAGATAATGGGGCCACATGAAAGCTCCCACTGTGAAGCCTGCCAGCTGGGCATCTGTTACGTGAAATATGAAGCCCAAGCACCAGCCAACACCTTCTTTAGGGCTGTTTCTCTTTTTCCACGCAGCTCTCCTGCCCATGAGGAATGGAGCGAAGCAGAGATGGGGAGCAGCCGCAACACGGGGAGCAGCTGTGACGGGCGGCGCTGCTGTTGCTACATTTGTTGTTTGGTCATTTTTTTGGCTGTGCTCATTTTTGTTCTGCTTTATCTCAAAACCTAGTGGAAATTCGACACTCATACTTGTCCCTAATATAACTGAACTGTAATAACCTGAGTAATAATTGGGCTTGGAAAGATTACATTTTTTTCTGTAAATGTCAGTGAATGTCAATTTCCACCACACACACATAAACCAATACAAAAATATTTCCATCAGTAATTGAAATTTACCGATCGGCAAAGTAAGACAAATGTTGCTTGGGGCCTTGTTAGCATTTGATTTCAGGATATTTACTTGGTATATTTTGACAGGCAATGTTGACAGTTTGCGCTTTAAAGGTTAAAAAGCGTTAATTTTTTGAATTGCAGCATTGTCTATCATGAAGTAATTATTGTCTGACCCCCCACCCCGCACCTGCCTCATAATTTCCCACAACTATGAAAATTTAAATCAATAAATGTTTGGGGGGGAAAAAGCCTAAGCCATTATGTTTTGCAGCTGTGAAAATTTACAGAGATAAAAATAAAATAAAAAAAAATGCTTAAAAATAACCGTGGCTATTTCCTGCCAAAATTATATAAATAATCAAATTCTGCCAAGCCTAGTAATAATAGATAATGTACCTGTCTATGTAGGGCGGAATGTGTGCACTGGGCTGAGAGCTAGAAAAAATATTTTTATTGGCCAGCTGAGCAGATTTCCTCTAGGAGCCATTGAGGGATGGTAGCTAAGGACCTCTAAGTGGCCTTTTTACGTGGTCATTTTTCAGAGTAGAACTGCCCTTTAATTATCGCATAATCTTTCCCAGGATCCAGCCCTGGAGAAGCCGAGCAATAGAACAGAAAAAGGTACGTCAGGCAAAAGACCTTTGAATTAGCTCACCTGATCCTCAGGAGTTCAAAGGAGCGTTTAGGGCTTCATTGATTCTTGAGCCGGCGGAACCCCTGCCCCTTGGGCATGATTTTCTAAGCTGCCTGAGGTTAAATATCTATGTGGCTGCAATCGAGTCGCGAGGAGTCTAGGTACCCTCCGTGGTGCCTGTAACTTCAGTGACTGTCGACACAACGTTTCCCACCCGCACTTGGGAGCTGTTTCACAACTTCAGGCCTTTTGTCTGTCAGGCTGCTTGGCCCGGCCTTGAGCCCTTTCAATTCAACGAGGGTCTGATGCGCTCCCATGAAACGTCCTGGAAACCTCCCCGTCCCACGGGCCAGCTGGAAAGTCTGCTGCAACCCCCTGGCAAGTTCTCCTCCGCACCCTTTTCTTTAAAGGGCGGTGTTACAAGTGTAACCCCCAAGGAGATGACCTAGATTCCTGGGGCTCGGTCTGCTGGCAGCTCAGGGGGAGGTGCACTGTCCCTGGTAGGGAGGGGGAGCCAAGGCAGACTCAGAGTCTGCCTGGCACCAATAGGGAGTGAGAAGCCCTTCCCAGGGAGCTCAGGAAAGGGGAGAGGCCATTTTTGAGGCAGTCTGGAGCCAGCCAGGGCAAGGGCAGGACTGGCTGTGTGGGGAGCTGGTGAGTCCCAGGCCTGCATGCAGGGTTCCCCCCTGAGAACTGGCCTCTAGGGACCTGACAGCAGATCCCTCCGCTGGGCTTTTCCCTCTCCACTGATGACTCCCAGTTTGTAGAGTTTTGCTCAGTGCCGGGTTTACAATGGCTCCAGTGGCTCCATGGAGCCGGGCCCATGCTCAGAAGGGGCCCCGGCCTGCTCCTCTTGCACTGCGCCCCAAGACCCCACATGCATAGCATGTGTCTGTCCCATCACGCTCCACCAAACGTTGATCCAGAGACCATCTGCCCCGGCTGCAAGTCCCTCCCCTTTCTCCCTGAAGCAGCACCCCCTGGTGGCAGCAACGTGGCAGCACCACCCTATGGAAAGGGAGATAGATGCCTGCCGGAGGGAGTCAGTGCGGCAAAGCCAGCTGGGATACAGCGGGACGCAGAGCCCTGTCCACGTGGGGAGCCCTGTCCCAATCTGCGGAGCCCTGTCCACGTGGGGTGGCTGTGTGTGTACGAGGGGGCGAGAAAGCTGCAGACTTCCAGCAGGGATGTGTGGTCCCCGGGCTGAATCTGGAGTTGATCCCTGTGGGCAGGGCAGTCCTGCAGACCGGCAGCACGTCAGCTCCCCTTTCAGTTTCGTTTCTCACAAGCCCTGAGCTTGGTTCCACACCCAGGGTCCTGAGTCTGTAGCAAGGAGGCAAAGGAGCCTGCCTGTGCGAGGCTGTTCCTCAGAGCGGGAGGGGAAGGTTGCAGACCCGGGAGCCCCCCCATCCCCCCTTAAATAAGTCACATTCCTGGTTCAGACAGTAAATGCTGCTGCTCAAGAGAGGCTGTAAAGGGGAAGGTGAGAAGATGAAGGCCTGGCAGCGGATGTTTGATCAGAAGATGGCATGGGAGAAGCCAGACGACACCTGGTCTCTCACTGTGGAGGATAACCTCCGTCCTCGAAACCCAGAACGCGGATGGCGCCTATACTAGCAGAGAAAAGCATTCGCCAGGTGAGGGGGAGCAGACAAACTGGGCCGTGAATGAGGCGCAAAGGCATGGGTGACGCGGGAACCCCGCCTTTGGGGAGGCTAGCCCCCCGTTCCTGTCCCTTTCTCCTCCCTTGCCTGCCAGAGCCCTGAGCCCCCTCCCCGCCCACTGTGGCAGGAGGAGCCCCGGCCAAACCATCCTGAGCCCTGGCCACCGGCCCGAGCTGAGCCGCCGCTGGCTTTGGGGGAGATGGGGAGTGAGGACGGGGCCTTGGGGTGGAGCGTGGGTGATGCCACAGCCTGGGTTTAGGTCGTCTCCCCCGGCCTATCATACCAGCCACCCATGCTCTAAGGTGAATTTCTCCCGGCATTAGTTTTAGTGGGGAGCGAAGCAGGGAGGGCAGGTGAGAGATTTGGGACTAGCTGCGATTGAACGATCGATTGGGCTAGTCCTTGTGTTCGCTGCACACACGTGTAAAAGGGATTTAGCTGTACGGCACCTAGCTATTAGTGTTGATGAGTCACCGTGAGGGCACTAAATATTTGCCTCCTGTTAATTAGCATTTTCCACCACTGTCAAAGTCTGTAGAGCAGGAAATTGTGACTCCCCCCTCTCACAAGTGGAAATGATGTCGTGGTTAGAGCAAGACGGCGTATTTAAACAAATTCCCTTGAATTTCCATCCGTAGTTTAGCAAACAAGCAGAAAGCTGGCGGAAGCAGTGAATTTACTGTTGCAGGATATATGCAGCCTTCAATTTCATAACTGACCACAGAACAAAGACAGTCCTTGCCCCAAAGAGTTTACAGTCTAAGTATAAGACAAGAGACAACAGATGGATACAGACAGCATCAGGAAAAATTTAGCCAGTATTGGTCAGTGTGATAGGCAGCGGTCAAGACAACCGTGCTCTGCTTGCTGGCTATGAAGAGAAGGAGAGAGGAAAACTGTGGAATAAATGATTCCAAATGAATTTTTTGCTCATCTCTCGTTATGGGCGAGAGACTGATCCACAGATGCAAACAAATTCTGATTGGAGGCTGCTCCTTAATGAGCCTAGACTTCAGCTGTAAATTGGAAGGTGCCTCAGTTCTAGGCTCAGTCCTGCTCGGAAGGGTTCATTAGAAACCAGTTGGAAAGCTGCAGGGGGTGTGCTGCATGAAATGTGACCCCCGGGCATGCTGAACCCATGTAGAGGAAGGGACTATTCTCCCCAGCGAAACCCGAGGCGGAACGGGGGCTGGGTTTTACTCTGATTGTTTAGTAAGTGGAGTCTTTGCCCATCTAGAACTAGGGGCGGAAACTTAATTGCATTGGAGCTTTCCTCTGGGGAAGTTCTTTGAGTTGGCAATGTTTGTAGAAAGGTCTGGATATTATGGGCAAAACTCCCATTCAGTCCAACTGGAGCCGGCTTTGAAACCCAATATGTTGAATTTGTAGGGTTTTCGACCGGACAGTCCGGTCAAAAAGGGGACCTGACAGTGTCTGGTCAGATCTACTGACCAGACACCCCAAATCCCGTTGCTGCGAGCAGGGGAGGCGGGGAGGCGCTGGGTCATCACCCTCTCCAGCCCCTGCTCAGCTGGTGCCACCTCCTCCCTTCATCGGGCAGCTGCAGCTCCCAGCCCCGGCTCCACAAGCGAGTCCCTCCTGATCTGGGGGGTGTGGGGGGGGGAAGAGGAGTGGATGGAGGCAGGGCTTTGGGGGGGAATAAGTGGGGCAGGGGTGGGGCCTCAGGGGGAAGAGGCGGGGAAGGGGAGGCTCTGGCACGTCTGCTGGAGTGTTCAGTTATTAACTATTACCAAGCTGGCAACCCTATGAATTTGTCCAACACTTTGCTGCATGATCCTTCAGAGGGGCAGGTGAATGTGAGTGAATGCTGTTATGACTATGCCATACAGGGACTTGATCCTGCAGAGTGCTGAGCGCTGCTGGGAGGTGCTTGCATGGACAGCAACAGGGTTTGGGGGTGCTCAGCACCTTGCAGGATCAAGCCCAATGTCAGTGGATGAGTCTTTCTCAGCATTAAGTTTGGGGGCTGGCGTGGGCGGCGGGTTAAATGTCCTTTCCTTTCCCCCTGTAGGTTTCAGTGCTCAAGCTGTGCCCATCACTGGCCATCGGCTCAAGTGCTCATTCTCTTCCACATGCACCTGGACTGGAGCCAGGGCCAGGGCCAGGTAAAGATGAGGGTCTGTGGGCAGAAGTTAAGAAGTGCCATGGAGCGAAGTTTGAGACACCCACGTTCAGCCAGGAGAACATTGAGAGGATCCTGGACGACTTGGTGCTGAAGATCCGTGAGAAATGCTACCAAGAGTTCATCAAAAACCGTGATTTAGCTGGCCCCATAGTCGAAGAAGATGTGGAAGGGCCACATGACACGACCCATTGTGAGGCATGTGCTCTGGGGATCTGTTATCTGTTTACCTACAGATTCGTTATCCCTGCTTCTCTGCCTGCAACTTCTCAGCCTGGCCAGCTGGCTTGGCGGGGAACAGACACAGAGAGCGACTGGAAGCTCTTGTGTTATATGTTACCAGTTCTGGTTGCTTTGCTCATCCTTGCTGTGCTTTTTGGTGGGAAGTAGGAAATTCAGTGCTCAGAATGGTTCCCTAATATTATCCACATGGGTTGCTAATGCACCTTCCCTTTTTCACGGAGAAAAAAAAATCTGGCTCAAGCCGTTTGCCTGGGAAATCACCATATGCTTAATGTTACCATGAAATGCTCTAGAGAGACTGATAATGTCCATTTGTAATGCACCAGGGTAATAAACAGGGACTGTAAAAAAAACTGGCCTCCTCAAAAGCAGGAGGGCACATTATGCCCCCTCTTGTTGACACCTGTGCCCCCCTCTGTGGGTCTGATCCAGTGCCCAGTGGAATGAATGGAAAGACTCCCACTGACTCCAGTGGGCATTAGATCGGGCCCTGTGCCCCTGTCAGATACTCTCTATGCCTTGTACCCCCTGAGAGGGGAAGGGTAGGACCCCAGAGGGGGCTTTGCTGCCCCAGGGGAGGCTGGACTTGAGAGTAGCTGCTCTTGTGTGCAAGATGCATCCTGGATCATCTGCAGAACTGGAGGACCACTCCCCGATCCCTTCTGGGGTGGCGGGAGGGGTAAACGCCAGGAGCCAGAGGAGCCATGTAGCTCCATTGGCTGCAGTGAAGCTATGCTGATTTCACCAGCTGAGCATCTGGCCCGAGGAGTTAATCTATCCCCTGATAACTTGTCCCCTTCCATGGGAGTGGGGCTGATGTAGGCCTAGATTTGAGTAGAGTCCCCAGTGGAGGAGCTTGGCACTAAAGCAGGCCAGAAGCATGGACCATGTTCACAGGACAGCGAGTTTAGATCCTTAATTACAGCCCTCTTGGGCATTACATACCTGGGTGTTTGCATGGCAGGAAACGAGGGGTTGCTTATCAATCATTGGTCCCATCCTGCTTTGCAGCGTGCTTTTCCTTCTCTCGAACAGAATCCTGGGCAGAGCCGTGGCCTGAAGATGAAGGAGTTTCTTGGCTTGGTTTATACGTAACACGGAAAAGGCAACTCCGTCTGCGTCGCTGTTGAAATACGGCCCCCGCTGAATTTTAGTGCGTCTGCAATAGAAGGGCCTGTTCTGGATAGAGCAGTTCCTCCTCCTGCTTCCTGTATTTTCCATGTTAATAGACCAATACTTAGCTTTGGTATTTTGTCCTGATTGTATCAGTTCAATAAAGCATCACATTTAAATTGAAATATCAGTGGAAGCAGGGGAGCTTCCCTCTCTGCTGAAGTGTGGAGTGACCCCTACACCCTTTGGGGAGGCAGGCGTTCACCCAGCAATTGCCCTGGTGCACAGATCTATCCTAGTACCTTCATTAGCAGGGGCAGCACCCCAGGGTCATTGCAAACCGTAGCCATTCAGTGGGAGTGTAACAGAAATCCCAGATGCCTGAGAGGAAGCTCTATGTCCATCCAACACTCAAAGCCTCCACAATCCCTCCAGCCTCAGCGCCTCAGTCCCGGGTTCGGGCACATTCTGAGGTGCAGGGCAGGCTGACGGGGCCACACGCCCTGGGCTTGCCCCACCATCCCTCCCAGCTCTGGTTGGGCTGGGTTTGTCCAGCCAGCAGACGCCCTCTCCTGCAGCCTGGAATGGCAGACCCACTGCGACAGACGACTGTCACACCCACCCTCCAATCAGAGGGGAAGGATGTCCTGGCAGCTCTCTAGCCAGCCAAGGCTGGGGGTGTCAGGAGATGCTTCTCCTGCTTGCCCGTCCTTTAGCCAGTCACGGCTCCGGGGGCAGGGTTGGCCTTCACAGCACTGCTGCTGATCTGGGGTGTGGGGACTCCACAGATCCGTGGCACATCTACACCGTAATGGCTAAAGTCTGGAACTAAAGCTATTCGCTTAACAGCACGCTAAGGTCTATTAACCTCTCAGCTACTGGAGAACAAGTGAAGGCTCCCCACTGTGCATAGCATGTGTCTGCCCCATCACGCGCCACCAGCACAGGGAACCGTCATTCCCAGTATCTGCCCATAGGGCTGTATTCTCAATGCGTTAACCGCCTGATTACATTTGACCAGGTGTAAGTTCTTGACATAGCAACCACGATGGCTGTTGGTGGGATCACGATGCCTTCCAAGGTTAGCTAGGAGTGTCTTGGTTTGATGGAGTAAGAGATATCAGCCCAGATAGTGCTCTGGGCTCGATACAACACGTGGGCGTTCAGATGCAGAGCTGATGTAAGTGGAGGCAACTTATTGAGTTGAGGGAGGAGGAACCGCCAGAGGAGATGCTGAGGAACAACCATAGAACAAAGTTAGTAGCAGCAGCTCAGAACCGGAGGACTAAGTGACAGAATGGCCCAGTCCTGCAGGGCTGAGTGCTGGAGAAAGACTTCCCGGGAGGAGTTCTTGACCAGGGACTGGCTGACTGGTCCTGCTTCCATGGGTCTGTCCCATGTCTGTCCCATGTCAGCAGCCATGGGCAGTGAAGGAGCCCACCTTTAATCCAGATGTCATGACATTTGCATGCTGACACAATGACATGGGAAAAACCTAGGCCCTGGGTTGACGTCTGTGTCCCGTTTTCATTTCTGTCTGTCTCAGTATTCACATGGCCGCAGCTCAGCTGAATCTGAATGCCAATGTGGAAAACAAAGCCAATCCAGCTTTTTATTTGACAGGTTTCAGAGTAGCAGCCGTGTTCGTCTGTATTTGCAAAAAGAACAGGAGGACTTGTGGCACCTTAGAGACTAACCAATTTATTTGAGCATAAGCTTTCGTGAGCTACAGCTCACTTCATCGGTTGCATTGTTGTGTGACTACTCACACACATCGTTTGGAGGCATTCACCCATCTCGGAAATACAGTCCTTATCATATACCCCAGGCAGAAACTGGAGAACCAGATTGGCTTTGGAAACAAAACTCCTTTCAGTTTCATTTCTCACACATACAGAAGTTATCCGGTATCTCTAGCAGGGAAGGAACTCAAATCCCCACCCTGCCGCTCAGCAGGTGATGAGATAGAAGTGGGAAGTAAACAATTGCAACTCCATTTGTAACTCAGCGCACGTTAGAGTGTCCCCACACGAACATCAGGAGAGATGAAGAAGCTGAACATGGATTCCTGGAGAGAAATGTTTTATGAGAAGATAGAGGAGGTGAAGCCACAAGACAACTGGGACTTAAAGGTGCAACAGAACCTTGATTACAATGACTTGGGACCTGGCTGGAAAAAATCACTGCAAGAACGTGCATTTGCCAGGTGAGGAGCAGCAGCTGATAGGGGCCGATACAGCAACTGATACAACCGCCTCCTTAGTCATTGACAAATGATCTATTTTTTGTGAGGGATGCAGTGTGTGTATGGGGGCGCAGTAGCATCCGTGTAATGAACTATGGACTGAACTATGCCTTTAAATGCATCCCCCGCTTTCAAAAATGTTTCCTTTTTTTAGAGGCGTTTGCCGTTTCAGCCACCACACGCCCCTGCCTCCCCCCGCCCCCGGTTTCTGCAAAAGCTGCTGCTACTCCTCCTGTTTTAGAAGTGTAGTTTTTCGTTTGGGTTTTACAGTCTCTCTCTCTGACGCTACTTGAAAGTTGCTGGACACAGAGAGAGCACCAGGACAGCAACCCACGGCAGGGCTTAATTTGCAATGAAAGAGGCGCTGGGGCCCAGCCTCGGCAAGCCCCAGCGTAGGTTAAGCACTGGCTGGGCGGTTGGAGAGCGGAGGCTGCCGGCCAGGCCCCCAGCTCTGAAGGCAGCGGTGTCGCCAGCAGCAGTGCAGAACAAGGATGGCCTGGCACGGTGTGTTGCCACCCAGACTTCTGCGCTGCTGCGGGCGACGGGGCTGCCTTCGGAGCTGGGTGGCTGGAGCCTGTGGCCGGGAGCCCCGCGGCGCAGGGGCTATGGATTGCCGAGCCTAGAAGCGCTGGGGCTCAACCGCAGCAAGGCCCGGCACAAATTAAGGACTGTCCCCAGGGCCTAGTGATGAGGCGCTCCTTCTAATGCTCCAGTAGTTATGGCACTATCAAAAGGTTTGGGGGACCCGGGTTCAAGCCCCTGCCTGGCTAAATAGGTCTGAGGATCTGGGCCTTAGTCACTCTGTGCCTCAGTTTCCCATCTGTAAAATGGGGGTGAGAGCATTGCCCTGCCTCACAGGGGTCTTGTGAGTGTAAATGCTTTAAAGCTTGTGAGGTGCCCAGTTACTATGGTGACGAGAGCCAGATAAGTACCTTGGGCCAGTGGTTTTCAAACTTTTTTTCTGGCTACCCAGTTGAAGAAAATTGTTGATGCCTGTGACCCAGCGGAGCTGGGGATGAGGGGTTTGGGGTGTGGAAGGGCTCAGGGCTGGGGCAAAGGGTTGGAATGCAGCGGTGAGGGCTGCGAGATGGGGCTGGGGATGAGGGGTTTGGGGTGCAGGAGGGGACTCTGGGTTTGGGGAGGGCTCAGGATTGGGGCAGGGCTGCGGGAGGGGGTCAGGGCTCTGGGCTGGGGGTGCAGGCTTCAGGCTGGGGCTGGGGATGAGGGGTTTGGGGTGCAGGAGGGGGCTCTGGGTTTGGGGGGGGCTCAGGGCTGGGGCAGAGGGTTGGGGTGTGGGAGGGGGTCAGGGCTCTGGGATGGGGGTGCAGGCTTCAGGCTGGGGTCGGGGATGACGGGTTTGGGGTGCAGGAAGGGGCTTCTGGTTCGGGGGGGGCTCAGGGCTAGGGCAGAGGATTGGGGCGCAGGATGGGGCACGGACTTACTTCGGGCGGCTCCTGGTCAGCAGGGCAGCGGCCTAAGGCAGGCTTCCTGCCTGTCCTGGCACCGCGGTTTGAAAACCATTGCCTTAGACAGAAATCAATAATTCCAAACACAGTCAGGTCTGATTCCTGCCTATGCAGCATTTAGCGCTGCTAGACACCATGGGCAGCACTGACTGACTGTCAAACCCTTGGTGCAATGTTGAAGTTATGGCTTAAACGCCTCCAAGACAAATACATTTCATAGAACCCGGGGGCAATTCTCTCGTCATATATAGCAAAACAAAGACCACCAGATCCTCGGCTCCTTTGGGTGTCCTGGAGCTAGGTCAATTTCCACCAGCTGAGGATTCGCTGATCAAGTAGATATGGTATGAATATGGATAGCTGTATATCCAGTTGGCTGGCAGTCAGGTCAGTACCGCCCCAAGGGTATGTATTGTTGTGAAAGCCTCTGGTACACTTAGTGCTGGTGGAAGGTGCTGGACTGACATCGATGGTGCCTGATACAAGGCGCTTCTTCGGTTTTACCTCATTGTAAAAAGATTTGGGAGCAATGTGGTCTTGGGATGATCAGGCGAGGTATTTCCAGTAGAGATAAGGAGGTTTTAGTACCATTATACAAGGCACTGGTGAGACCTCACCTGGAATACTGTGTGCAGTTCTGGTCTCCCATGTTTAAGAAGGATGAATTCAAACTGGAACAGGTACAGAGAAGGGCTACTAGGATGATCCGAGGAATGGAAAACCTCTCTTATGAAAGGAGACTCAAGGAGCTTGGCTTGTTTAGCCTAACTAAAAGAAGGTTGAGGGGAGATATGATTGCTCTCTATAAATATATCAGAGGGATAAATACCGGAGAGGAAGAGGAATTATTTAAGCTCAGTACCAATGTGGACACAAGAACAAATGGATATAAACTGGCCACCAGGAAGTTTAGACTTGAAATTAGATGAAGGTTTCTAACCATCAGAGGAGTGAAGTTTTGGAATAGCCTTCCAAGGGAAGCAGTGGGGGCAAAAGATCTATCTGGCTTTAAGATTAAACTCGATAAGTTTATGGAGGAGATGGTATGATGGGATAACATGGTTTTGGTAATTAAATCTTCATAGTAAATAGGCCTAATGGCCTGGGATGTGATGTTAGACGGGGTGGGATCTGAGTTACCCAGGAAAGAATTTTCTGTAGTATCTGGCTGGTGAATCTTGCCCATATGCTCAGGGTTTAGCTGATCACCATATTTGGGGTCGGGAAGGAATTTTCCTCCAGGGCAGATTGGAAGAGGCCCTGGAGGTTTTTCGCCTTCCTCTGTAGCATGGGGCACGGGTCACTTGCTGGAGGATTCTCTGCTCATTGAAGTCTTTAAACCACCATTTGAGGACTTCAGTAGCTCAGACATAGGTGAGAGGTTTTTCGCAGGAGTGGGTGGGTGAAATTCTGTGGCCTGCGTTGTGCAGGAGGTCAGACTAGATGATCATAATGGTCCCTTCTGACCTTAGTATCTATGAATCTATTTAGCTTAACAGAGAGAAGGCTAAGAGGTGACTTGATTACAGTCTATAACTATCTACATGGGGAACAAATATTTAATAATGGGCTTTCAATCTAGAAGAGAAAGGTCTAAGAGGACTCAATGGCTAGAAGTTGAAGCTAGAGAAATTCAGACTAGAAATAAGGCGTAAAATTTTAACACTGGGAGTAATTAACCATTGGAACAATTTACCAAGGGTCGTGGTGGATTCTTCCTCAGTGGCCATTTTAAAATCAGGACAGGATGTTTTTCTAAAAGCTCTGCTCTAGGAATTATTTTAGGGCAGTTCTCTGGCCTGAGTTACCCAGGAGGCCAGACGAGATGATCACAATGGTCCCTTTTGGCCTGAGAATCTATGAATCTGTAATTACACTGAAATGCATTAAAAATAAGGCAAAGCAGTGGCGGACACAGCCCAGTGAGCATTACACCTGCTTACACCAGATCCGAGGTTGGCCCCATGGCTTTGATTAGCCTTGAGTTTGCCAGCAGGCGCTGCTGGTTGGTTGCTGTAATGGGATCTACAAACCCCATACTGAGCTTAGGCAGGGTGGGGAGTGGACCCCCTCCTGTCTGCAGGCAAGCAGCTCGACCACACCTACAGGCAGCTGCTGGAGCTGCCAATCATGGAGACACTTTTTTGGGGGGTGGGGGAGGTAATAGTTGCCTATATAAGACAAACCCTCTAATATCAGGATGGTCCTGATAATAGTGGGACATCTGGTCACGCTATGCATGATATATCTCTTTCCTCTTTTTAGCTTCCAGTGCTCATGGTGCCAGCATTTCTGGGCATCAGTTCAAGTGGTTATTCTGTTCCACATGTACCGGGACCTGCACAGGAGAAAAGGTTGCGTGAAGATGAGAGTCTTTAGACAAGAATGTTATGAGTGCTCCAAGGGTAAGTTAGAAGAGCCAGATTTCAAGGAGGAAAGCGTCCAGAGGGTCTTGGAGAACTTGGTCATCAGCATTAGAGAGAAATGCTATGGAGAGTACGTGGACCACACCCAGTTATCCGAGGTTACAGTGATAGGACAGCACTATGGACCACATCAGAGTGACCATTGTGAGGCTTGTCGGTTGGGAATACATCAGAGGCCCAAACGCTCAATGTATTATGGAAGACCCAAAGACACAGTGTACCATGGGACATCCAAAGACACAATGCCACCAGTTCAGCTACCATCACACAATTTACCCCAAGACACGATTTGCTGCGTTTTCTGTACTATTTGCATTTTGATTTTTATTTATATGAGCAGTTGGATACCACAGCTAGTCAAATAGTGGGGGTAACCCCCCCCCCCCGATTCATGAATAATTGCAAATATAGTCAGCTAGTTTGGTTTGCTCTGATTGGTGCATTTGTATTACTTATTTTACCTGAGTGTGTAAATAATTGCTGGGTATTCAAGAACATTTTTGAAAGTCCCCAAAAACTTCATGAATTCTGGTGGGAGTGATTCTGCGTCTGAAAATTCCAACCAGAACTACATCATTCATCCCTCTCTTTTCTCTCGTTATTGTTCTCTGGTTTGAAAACTTCCAGTTGGCTAATCAAGGAGCAGAAACACTACCACCTGACTCAGGTGCCAGCCACACACCAGGAGTAACAAATGGCTAAAACGAGGTTTGTGAACAGCCCCAGAGACTGAAATTATTTGTCTGGACTCTTTGGCAAATCCAAATAACCAACACGTTGGATCCGTGAACCCAGAAAGGAGCTACTTTAATAATGAACACGATTTTTGACGACTGGTTCAGCTGGCTCTATCTGTTACCTTCCCGTTTTTTAAGGCATTTGACGTTGAAAACTGAACAACAGGAGAGAGACTGGATTTAGCAACTGAACTATTTGAGGAAAGATGGGCCAAAGGAGATGAGCTAATTCAAAAGAGAATCATAGCAATGTCATGCTGGAGGGGAAGTCAAGAGGTCATCTAGTCTACCCCCACCCCCTCCATGCTAAGGCAGGATAAAGTAAACCTAGACCATCTTGGATAGATGTTTGTCTACCCTACTTTTAAAACCCTTCAGTGATGGAGATTCCACAGCCTCACTTGGTAACCTGTTCCAGTGCCCAGCTGTCCCTAAAGTTTTTCCTGATATCCAACCTAAATCACCATTGCTGCCAACAAAACCTATTACTTGTTGTCCTACCCTCGGTGAACATGGAGAACAACTGATCACCGTCCTCTTGCCTTTGACATAGTTAAAGAGAGTTATCACATCCGCCCTCAGCCTCCTCTTCTCTAGACTAAACATGCCCAAAATTGTGGATGCAACTTTTACAAAGATGATACGGACCCCCAGTGCAACTCATAACACCAACGGCTTCGCTGCGATGCAGTCAATTACCTTCTGTGTTGCTCACCCTTCTTTCCTCTTGTGCAGGAAATGAATTGTTCCATCAATAATTTTGTGTCTCTTTCAAAAAAAGTGAGTAACTGAAACAGCCAAGGTGATGGGAAGCTCCGTTGCTGTCTCTTTAAACGCCATAATGCAGGTTGGGTAGTCACAAAGCCACATGTGTAATGTTGTGGTTAACAGTGAAGCAACTCTTCGGTTTGCCCTTGAGACAGGTTGTTCCTGTTGACTAATATATGCTGACTAGCATACTTACATTAGATGCTGGTAATACCACCCGCAATACATGTTCCAAGCCTTTAAGCTTCTATATATTATTAAGCATTAATACAGCAGTTATATAGCCCAGATTGGCCTGTAACTTTATTATGATCCTGTTCACTTATGCTAAGTGTCCAATAACACCTCTCATTAGCTGAAATTAACCCTAGCTTAAGTAGATGTGCAAACTGTCGGGATCAGGACATGTGAGCATTGCCTCATAGCTAACGAGAGGGAGTTACCCTGACAAGCCTGTTTATCCTGGTACAGGCCTAAAGGGTGTCCTCATGCCCCTTAATACCTGGAATGCATGTGGTCAGAAGAACAAAAGATACACTATGGTACCAGGAACAAACAAGGTGAAAAGCTGATTAGTGATATCCAGTTTCAGGTGATGTACATACTAGCTTTCACTGGTAAATAAGTAGGGTATAAAAAGATGGATTTAGGGATGTCACTTTGGGGCGCACACATGGCACGGGGCTGCTCTGCGGAGACTGGAATCATATAGAACCTTTCTCTAGACCATCTTAATAAACCTGAGTGACATTGATGGTTTAGTCTCTTGAGTAGATTTCATAATGAACCAAAGGGTGGTGAAGCGACTGACTAGACAATTTACCCACAGTTCTAAGGCTTCTTTTGTGGCCTGGGTTCAGTGGTTCCACTCCCTTGGCTGAGGGGGGCGGGCATCGGCGCACCCATCACCAACTTCTTTACCAAATGAGGCAGGGGCTATCTAGCCTCATTCGCTTCTCAGGCCTGCTTCGTTCTCCAAGAACCACCTGTCTTGTGCACTGAAAGAAGCAGAGGTCCTGGGGAAAATATAGTGCCCAATCATGTAAATTACATTATCATAATTCATAGGCACAAGGGAGCTGAATTAAAGCTGCACGGGCGACCTTAGCGCTGGCATTTCCGGAGTTCAGGATGTTGCAATCAATGTTTTGAAGCTCCCGCTCTGGCCATCTCTCTTGTATCCCAAGTGCAGCGCTGACTCGGCTCAAGGAGGTGGGCATAGATAATCCTCGCTTGTAACCGTTCCCTGCTACAGGCAATCAGAGATGCTGCTGCATGGCCTTGCTTAGTGCAACTGTGCGGCGCTCCCACAACGCGCTCTTCTGGTGAGTTTCCTGCCCTCCCCCTGGCAGGCCCCCATTCCCACCCTCCCACCCCCCCCTGTTAGGCTGGGTCTGAAAAGTAATCTCTGTCCTGAACCCAGAGGAGAGAGGCATCAAGCAAAGTAAAAAAAAAACGAGGAGTCCTTGTGGCACCTTAGAGACGAATACATTTATTTGGGCATAAGCTTTCGTGGGCCAAACCTTAAAACTAAAGCTTATGCCTTAGTCTCTAAGGTGCCACAAGGACTCCTTGGTTTTTTTGCTTATACAGACTAACACGGCTGCCACTCTGAAACCTATCAAACAAAGTGTTGCCCTGAGCCTGTGCCTGCAGATGGCGCCCAGCACCCTTAGCCTGAGATTTTATTCCTCCCAGACAACACTTTAAACCACCCATTGCCTTTGGGTTACGACTGACTCAATCACATATCATAGAATATCTGGGTTGGAAGGGACCTCAGGAGATCATCTAGTCCAACCCCCTGCAGGGACAGACTTAACCTAAAAACAGGACTTGTGGCACCTTAGAGACTCACAAATGGATTTGAGCATAAGCTTTCGTGCGCTACATCTCACTTCATCGGATGCATTCACTTATGCTCAAATAAATGGGTTAGTCTCTAAGGTGCCACAAGCCCTCCTTTTCTTTTTGCGGATACAGACTAACACGACTGCTACTCTGAGACTTAACCTAGAGAAGCCTGGTTCAGTTAAATCTCCACCCGGGGTCTGTGCTGTTGAAGTGCAAGGCAATGAATGTTACTTCTCTCATCTCAGTTTTGCCCCTTCTGCCTAACTGACCCCTACCAACCAAAGCCAAATAGAAATTAGTAAAATCGAAACAAATGTTAACCCTATCCCTGAGTTTTTGCCCTGAAAAGGGAGAAGTGCCATAAAATCCACTTTGGACTTTGCTATTGCTATTGATGGTACTTGGAAAGTGATCGCATGCTGCGATGGTGGGCAGTAGTACAAAACTCAATTAGATAGCTAGATCCTCAGAAATATTCCTCGGGCCTTGCACAGAATCCAGCCTGAAGCAACCGAGTCTGCAGTTAGTCAAACATATGGCTGGCCTAACTTAAAGGCTACCGAAATCTCATTGGGGCAACCAGGGTAGAGTCCCGAGCTCCGTGCTCCTCTGTATTTTACCTACTAGCCAGCCAAGGTATTTGAAAATTTCTGCTGGACTCTTTCAGCTGTGAGAAAGTTACTGTGACTGAGAGTTAATTATCCTGCTTGCTTTATACTAAACCCAGTGCACACCGTTGGGCATTCAAACTAAGCTGAATTCTTCTGTGACTCTGTCTTTCAAGCCAAAGTGGCCTTTTGGCTGCTAAAAAGTGGCCAGGGACTTCCCACGATTCCTGTGTTTGTTGACGCTGTTTCTTAGCTATTGAGCGTCAAAAATACACATCCAGTGAAACATAATGGGCAAAAGTAACCCCTGATGAAAGGCCACTGGCGCCAATGATTTCAGCTATTCCACTGCAACCAAGAGCACAAGCCAGCTCCATGTTGGCAGTGGGGACTTTTCTGAGGTTTTTTTGTTGGGGAGGAGCAGCTGTGTTCCTCGTTTCCATGAATAACGTGTTTCCCGTTGCGTTTGTGGGTGTGAATCGATGTCTCCTGAGCCCGTCCCGGTACACATGCACACTCACACAGACACTACACTCTCTCTCGCACATGGGCCGATTGCTCATGTATGTGCAGATGAGACAGAAATGAAATGACACACTAAGAGCTCTGACGTAGGCCCCTGGCACCTGAGGCCCCTCTGGCTTTAGGAGACTCCCGGAGTTCCTCAGTGGAAGAAGGGGCTTGGAGCAGATGCTGATTTCAGCCACGCTCACCTTCCATCCCCTCCTTTGCTGCACCAGGCACAGAGGGTGACCAAACGCCCCACCACTTGTGCTCCAGTGTTCATTCCCACTGGCGGGGAAAGGCCAGGAAAGCCCCACTCCCCAGTCCAGAGGTTTGGCTGCTGGAACAATGTCTGGGACTAAACGGCTCGGGGGGCTAGGCCCGGCCAGCCCCCTCTCCCAGAACAATACCGGGTGCTGTGCCTCAGATTCTCCATTCCAGTCAATAGGAGAGGGACGTCCACAGTCCCCAGGCAAAGCAGACCGCCCAGGGTTTTGCTCCAGCTCCGATGTCGTGGGGTTTGTGCTGCATCCCGTCCCCACCTTCTGAGGGGGCGGCGGGGGGGGGGGGGAGTTTGGTAATGACAGCATTGCTTAGCGCTAGTTGTGATGCCCCTTGACTCCGCTTGGAACGCCCTGTCTGTTCCAAAGAAACACCCCGACTGTTGGCTTCCAGTGTGCACCAGCCTCGAGTCTAATCACACCGTGCCCAGTGGCATTCCTGGGATGGGTGCTATCAAAACGTACCGACCCTCATTTTCTTTGCTAAAAAAATGTTTCTTCAGATAAAAAGGAGATTTTAAAAAACCTCCTGTTGTTGTAGCTTCTCTGCCACAGACTCCTGGTGTGACCTTGGCATGTCACTTACTCTCTCTGGGGAAAGGATGAAGATCGTTGCTTTGTCCCACTCTTTGTCTAGACTGCAAGCTCTTCAGCACAGGGCCTGGCTCTTGCTACGTGTTTGGACAGTTCCCAGCACAAACTGGAATACAGATGATTCAATTCTGAACTCAGCGGCAACAGCGGAAACCTAATCAACCCTTGCAGTGGTTTTCTGTCTAATTTAATCGGTCTGTCTGTAGGCATTTTTAGGGCAGTATCTTTGTGCCATTGACTTCATCTGAGTAACTCTGGTTTTACCCTGGTGTCCATGAGATCAGAATCTGGCTCTAAGTCCTTCCAACTCCCCCTTTTAAGATTCAACTCCCTTTGGCAAATGTCCCAGGAAAGGAATTTGGTTTCTTTTGAAGTAAAGCTTTCATCCCCTCCTGCTCAAAAATCTCCCATAGTCATTCCCTTTCTTCTTCCTTGACTGAGTTTACACGATAATAGAGGTGGAGATCCAGAGCTGAATTTTGCAGCAGAGCCATGCCGTTACCCAGCTCCTCTGCTATGGTCGAGGAACACAGTTACAGCTTGTGTGTGTGTTCGCACGCAAGGGTCAGTTACTGCCCCGGGGATCAGCTGGCTATTCCCCCTAGGCCAGCAGCATGGCAGGGTGGGATAGCAAGCGCACACTCAGGTTCTCCTCCTGAGGCTAGGTCTGGAGTAGCCCAGCGTAGTGCCCTGTATCCCAGCTTCTCTGGGCCAATATCTCTCTAGCAAGCAGGGGTGCCCCCCGGCAGTTTCTGCGTGGTACGCACAGCTGACCCATTCTCCCTTCCTTGTCCTTGTTGTAGCAGGTCTGGAGGCTGTCACTGAGTGAGTCCAGTGGGCAGAACACAGGGGCCGGCCCGTGGTACGCACCGTGCGTAAGGAGCATACAGCTGTGGGTGCCTGACCCTTGTTGGTCACAGGGTCAGCGAGTGGACATGCTCCATCCCAGTGACCTTGTCCTCGTCCCTGGACGGAGCAGCCAGACTCTGCCTGCCTAGTGCTCTCCGCAGAATCAGCTGGCCTCTGGCTGCAGAACAGGTCTTGTGCCGCCAACAGGTCAAGAGGTGCCAGCAAAGGTGGCGTCTGTCACTGCTTTTCCTTTTCTCTTCTGTGCCCTGTTTTCTAGCCCTGCAATGATCAGCTGCTGGGTGAGCACAGAGGGACCAAAGCCCAGGACAGCACCTCCGTGCATTTAATGAACAAAGGGAAGTGGGCCAGATGGGCTCCGTGTCCAGCATCAGTGATTAACTGCAGAGCTATGAAAGGAGAGAGGAAGAAACGTTTCTTGTAGCAGGTTTCAGAGTAACAGCCGTGTTAGTCTGTATTCGCAAAAAGAAAAGGAGTGGGTTTGTGGGGGCGGGATGGATTTGTGCTGGAAATGGCCCAGCTTGATTATCATACACATTGTAAAGAGAGTGGTCACTTTAGATAAGCTATTACCAGCAGGAGAGTGGGGTGGGGGGAGAGAAAACCTTTCGTAGTGGTAAACACCCATTTTTTCATGGTTTGTATGTATAAGAACATCTTCTGTATTTTCCACAGTATGCATCCGATGAAGTGAGCTGTAGCTAATGAAAGCTTATGCTCAAATAAATTGGTTAGTCTCTAAGGTGCCACAAGTCCTCCTTTTCTTTCTTGTAGCAGCAATTCATCAGCTCTGGCTGGGTGAGAGCTGCCCTGGAGCTGTTGAAGTGCAGATCCTAGAGCCCAGTGGTTGATGCTATAGGAGCCAGACTTTCATTTTGCCCTTTCCTAAGAAAAAAAGTGTTCCCTTTCCTGTGGCCTCCAAACTAGGATTTTCAGGCCTGTGAAATACACTCTATGGGGCTATAGGCCACCGGCTCTCCTCTGCCCTGGTGTGAATCTGAAGTGACTCCACTGAAATCAGTGCGTTTATTTCAGATCTGGACCAGTGTGTACCTCTGAATAAAATCTGGACTCCTTTTGCTAGAGATGAATCTGGATCAACACCCCAGGTCTGGCCCCCTGGATGCAGGCCTGTGTTTGGATCCCGTTTTTGCAGCTCGAACCTCTCTCAGCAGGCCGAATCCACCCAGCCTGAAATATGGCAAGGTTTGGGTGCAGATCTGGATTTTGAACACTCCTCAGGGTCCTCAGGAGCCTTTGCTGCAGGGATTTGGGGAGATATGGGGCCTGATTCTGCTCTTGGTCACCCCAGGGGAAAGCCAGTGCCAGTGAGATCAGAGTCAGGGCTGGGACATGTGGTGCCCGTCTCAGAGCTCAGACTCAGATGCATCTCTCCCTGCATCACAGACCCGAGTGGAGTGTTGTAAAGGGGCAGGTGGGGGGTGAGTCTCACCTGGCTTGGGGTTTTGCCTGGCTGAGCTGGGATCTCTCACCCCACAACAGGTCACCCCATTCTTCCCTTCCACTGTCTTTTCTGGGAAGTGACCCAATAACCTTCTACCTGCAATTCCCCCCCAGCCCCCACCCCGCTATCTCCCCCATCCTGCCTTCTTCAGGGGAGAAAGACAGCCAGAAAGGTTGTATCACCAGGGTCTCCCAGAGGTCAATGTCCAGCCCACTCCCCATTCTATGGCAGAGAGCTGACCCCTCAACTCAAGACTTAGCAGGAAAGTAGAGGGACTGACTGGTTTTCAGCTAGTTTGATGTGAAATGTACTTTTCTGGGATGGTAGCTGCTTGCTACTTGCCCAACCACATTGTTAATTTCTGTTATTCTCTCTGTTCGCAGCCTACCTGCAGCTACCTCCCGGCTGGCTGCCGAGTGCTTCTTTAAGGCTGTTTCAAGGTTCTAAATAATCGACCTGCAAGGCATAAGCCAGAGTCATTTTTAACAAACCCTATTCACGTGCAATCGTAGAGAGCTGCTTCCGATCTTCCTTCCTGAGCGATGCTAGAAGAGCAATAGCTAAACGGCCGCCCTTACGGTAGCTCAAAGGCAAGAGAGAATACGAGCCCAAGTATTACACAGGTTGCATGGGAGTGCTGCACAAGGCACTGTGTTCCCTCTATGTTGCATACATCGTCTGTGTGCATGATGTGGTTTTTGCACGTTACATGTTGCATCTTGCAAGGAGCATTGAGTGTTTGGGTTGCATGCTGTGGACTGAGTCGCCTGGGTCTGGTGGACCTTTCAGACCGCGCAAATGAAGCCAGGAAAAGCAGATGTGGAAGCTGGCAGAGCTGACAGAGTGGCGAGCTTTATTATGCACATCGTCACCATTGCAGCCTTTTGGTACCTGACTGGTGAGCGTCCCCCAGCAGGAGCAATGGTGACCTAGGGCCTGTTCAAAGCCCATGGAAATGGGCGTCTGTCTATTGAGTTCAGTGGGCTTTGGATCAGTCCTGTGGGCACCGGTTGTCTCAGCCTCACCTTATTTTAAGAGGCTTTAATTAGAGTATCAGACATGGAACGCCTCAAGTGCAAATGCTAGGTGCCACCAGCAGGCCTATGTGTTCCAGCAGGCCTGGGTCTGACCTGGCTGCTGCTCTGCTCAGGGGGAGTTTTGTTACTGATTTCGGGGCGAAGGGGGGGGCAGAATCAGGGCATGGATTTGGACCAAGTTCCGCTTGCTGTAAACCCCTCCTCACCTTTCCTTTGGTATGAATACTGGGTGTTGAAAGGATAACACTGTTTAACCTGTGGGTTACTAAGACGCAGCTGCCTACTAGAGACAACAAAGGCACTGGGAGAGGGAATGGAGAAGTCACACGGCGATCATTGGTTGTACGCTGAAGGAAGAACTTGAAACTTCCAAGGGTCCAGGACCCTTTGGTCTGGCAGATCCTGAATTCGGAGCGGCTGCATGTTTTGAAAGACATTCTTCTGCCTAGGTGAAATTCACCCCTGGGCAGAGCCGGACATGCCACCTAAGTCCCACTTATGACTTAAATGTGACATAGATCTTGTGCTGGCTTTACACAGAGGGGTGAATTTCAACCACTCTATTCCCAGAGGCAGAGAAGGAGTATCTTTCTCAGGCTTGTATCTGTAATTTTCACTCCATGCATCTGAAGAAGTGTTTTTTTTTACCCACGAAAGCTTATGCCCAAATAAATCTCTTAGTCTTTAAGGTGCCACCAGACTCCTCGTTGTTTTTGTGGATACAGACTAACACGGCGGCCCCTCTGATACATCTTTCTCAGAGTTGATCCTGGAAATATTACTGGGCGTCGTACTTTGAATGCTCCCATTAGCATCACAGTCGAGAATACTTAAGTATTTGCAGCATTGGGCCCTTTGTTTGCATAGCATAGGCTACAATTAATTCAAAGCACTTTTACAAACATTCAATGGTCTAAAAAATAATGATTTGGTTTAAGGAGCAAAGTTTCCTTTGCCGTGTTTCATAACAGAGACGGTTTGTGAAACCCCATTTTTTTTTTAAAGTCTCATGGGTTTTGTAAAACCCCAAACTCTGGCGGGGCCCCCCCCCCAGTCTAAATCAGCAGTATTGATTATGGCATCAGGTTTATCCTGTGCTTTCCTGGTCAATGAAGTTACAATGGAATTGCAGAGTGGTCCGTCCGTGGCTCTTGGTGCCTGGAAACCAAGGGGAAATTGGCTTATCCCCACAGGATTGGCTGCAGAGATGGGCTCAGGTCACAGGTCAGTTCAGGTGGGTGCAGGAATCCAGTCTAAGCCTTTCCTACCACTATATCCTGAGGGAATTTACACTCTGAGGCAGGCAAGGCATCTCCCTGAGGTGGCTTTTTTGGCAGAAATTGGAACGACCCATTGATGTGTCATCGACTTAATTGTCTGCTGCAGAACTGGCAAACTTGGTACTCCTCCCAGCTGTTCTCACCTAGCCAGGGTTGTGAGCAGGCCAGAGAATTCAATATTCCACCCCAGTGACCTGCTTAATCCAGGCCAAGCTCTTGGACACATTGGAATACACTCCATACCGATCATTCTGCCCGCATCCATCTCCCCAGGACACTGTGCCAATCAGCTGCCAGTGGTTATTCTGGTTGGTTAAGGTGACCATGGGCCCCCCTGAATCTCCGCTACAAGCATCTTTTCCTCCTGTGGGTAGAAGAGAAGGGTGGTCATTTCCGTGGCGCCCAAGGGACCCAAACGCGCCGCAGACTTTGCAAATTGCTACTCCAACTTTACGGACAGGGTTAGCCACGTGCCCCCACTAAAATGCAGCTACCTCTGAGTGGAGAATGTGGCAACTCTTTAGCAGTGCACAGCAAGGCTGAGAAGCGATTTAAGGTGGGAAGGGAGGAAGAATTCTGGACCTAGTTGAAACTAAAGGAGAACTAGAGGGAGGCAGAATGACCCAACCTAAAATTTGGCCAGGACACCAGAGTTAACACCCTGGAAAGTGATCATAGAATATCAGGGTTGGAAGGGACCTCAAGAGGTCATCTAGTCCAACCCCCTGCTCAAAGCAGGACCAATCCCCAATTTTTGCTCCAGATCCCTAAACGGCCTCCTCAAGGATTGGACTCACAACCCTGGGTTTAGCAGGCCAATGCTCAAACCACTGAGCTATCCCTCCCCCCAGCGTAGATCCTTTAGTGACCACATGTGGCCAGGACCTCGGTTTGATGTTTCCTGCAAAGCAGGGTGACCAGATGTCCCGAATTTATAGGGACAGTCCCGATATTTGGGGCTTTGTCTTATATAGACACTTATTACTTCCCACCACCGTCCCGATTTTTTACACTTGGTATCTGGTCACCCCAATCCAAAGACATCCAGCACAGGAGAAAAGATGGGTTAACTTCTCAAACTGGTTTCAAGGAGATGTGAAAACCAGATGTTAAGATGTCACCACATCTTATCAGGAAACCGGGCCTGGCATGGTATGGGCGAATCTATCTGTCCGGAACCAAACTGGAAGCTGCGTCCCCTTTGAATCCCCTGCACTAGTTGTGCGGCGTGAACCTCTGTCCATAAGCCCATCCCCACTGCAGAATTTCCCAGAGTTCATGGCTGTAAGGCCAGACAGTGAGCATCCGTTCTGATGTCTCATCCAACGCAGGCCAGAGAAGCTCACCCAGGGATTCCTGACAACAACCCAATAACTTTTGGTTGCATTAGTCAGAGATTTTCAAAGCGTGGGGCATGACCCTGTGGTGCATGTAAGGACTGGACACGGCTGAGCTGAAGGGCCAGAGTCAGCAGCGGGATCTGTCCGGATGGGAAGCAGGAGGGGCTCTGTGGAGGCAGTCTCGGCTGCCAGGATCTGGCTCCCTCCCCCCACTGCTGCAGTCTCCCTCCTCTTCTGGGGAGGCAGACACGGACTCTGAGTGGGGGGCTGCAGGCTGCACCCTGGGAATACTGCCCTTTCCCTGAGAGACAGAGACCCCTGCTGGCCCCAGCCCTTCAGCACAGCCTCAGGGCACAGAGCCCCATCCACGTCCCCTAATGGATACAGCCTGTTCGGGGGAAGCAGACAGGGCCATGCTGAAGGGTCACACCCCGCGGCGGGTCAGCACAAGGGCTGTGCATCTCTTCAATCCACCGTAAGCTCTGCTGGGCGGCGCGTAAGCCTCGTGCTGGCCTCTCCACAGGGTGACGTGCCCCTTGCCCCCTCTTCGGACGAGGAGTTGGTAAAGACCTGTGTCCCCCTTAGAGTTCACCCTAGCCAGCATGAGGGTGAGACCTGCCCACTGGGGCGGATGGAAGGACACACTTGCACCAAAGCTGCTGTGGATAGAAGGGAGCTGCACCTTCTTTCTCTCCAGCGCAGATCATATCATCCGTCACCTTTTTCTGCAGCCTCGCATAGGCTTCCTGGCATAACGCATGGTCAGTGAGCGGGATCTCAATCTGCAAGACAGGAAAAACACTTCGTTACCAGGTGCCCATTGGCTCGCGGGGGCCCCTGCTGTATCTACGCAGGCTTGGAAGGATCCGATTTGTAGTGGTAAATGTCACTAAATGTCACACACCGCACCCTGTAGGCACACAAACCGCACACACGCAAACCAACGGGAAAATATTTCCGTCGAGAGCAACTGAAATTCACACATTGCCCAAGTCAGAAGAATGCTGCTTGAGAACCTGTGAGCGTTTGAGTCGAGGCTAAAATGTTGACACCTGATAGTCACAGTTTGCATCGTAATGGTTTATAAAGCTTTAACTTTTTGAATCTCAGCCTCAACTGGCGAGAAATAATCGTCTAATCTCCACCTTTGCCTGAAGCCCCCATGATTTCTCCCACCTGTGAATATTTAAATGGCTAAAAATTGAGAAAAAAAAGCGTGTAAATAAACACCGATGTTATCCACTGAAATGATAAAAAAAATTAAAATTGAGTTCTGCAAACACCTTGCCCGCCTTCTTTTTCTAATATGCTGGGACTGACACAGCTACAACTACATAAGCCCAAACATCCTTTAGTCTAGCAGCACCCTATTGCTTTATGTTATACAATAACATGGAGCAGGTCCTCAAAGAATCAGTCCTGAAGCACTTGCATGAGAGGAAAGTGATCAGGAACAGCCAGCATGGATTCACCAAGGGAAGGTCATGCCTGACTAATCTAATCGCCTTCTATGATGAGATTACTGGTTCTGTGGATGAAGGGAAAGCAGTGGATGTATTGTTTCTTGACTTTAGCAAAGCTTTTGACACGGTCTCCCACGGTATTCTTGTCAGCAAGTTAAGGAAGTATGGGCTGGATGAATGCACTACAAGGTGGGTAGAAAGCTGGCTAGATTGTCGGGCTCAACGGGTAGTGATCAATGGCTCCATGTCTAGTTGG